CTTAAACCAATTTGGATTAGAGCTATGTCTTAGAGAGGCCTCAAAAGAGGCACGCTTCTTTGAGGTATTGATCTTAATTTTCTTTAATCGTCAATGGATATATAAGGATTTTAGATAATTTGAAAGAGAACAAAATTAAAATTTTGAAATTATTCACTTTCGCTATGCCTTTCTAAAACCCAAAAACTTGTTTCAAGAAATCTAGAAAACAAGCACAGATGTTGTGTTTAATGCCATCACTATGAAGCTTGGGAAGAGATGTTGAATCTTTATGGAGCTCGAGACAATGAAGATAGAAAAATAAAAATTAAAATATTAATACCCCTCAAAATCTTGGAGGTTGTTAAGGGATGGATTTGTATTGCTTTGGAATTCACAATACATGTATCACCATGTCAGCAAGACTGGCTTTGGATTTGTGAGTAAGAAAAGCCCACATAATCTATTTCCACATCAAACATGTTAAATTTTAGTTTTGTTAATGATCACAATGGAGTCAACATCGCTAGAAGTTGCACTCATCCACTCCGCTGGGAACATTACAGACATGATCTACTCCAACATTATTCTCATCTACTTGGCCAGATGGGGCTACATTTATCTTTACAACATGGTTGGACATGGCCAGATTTGGCTACATCTAACTTTGCAACATGGTTGGACATTTGTGACAGTCATGATTTTTATTGCAACATTTGTTGTTACATCTTATTGGCTCCCAACAATGGATAAAGAGTCTATCTCGCTAGATCTATATGGCTCCCATCAAAGGATAACAAGTTGATTTTATTACATTTGCATAGTTCCTAATGATAGATAAAAGGCCAAACATTTATTTTACATATCTCTATTACTAGTTCCCATCTATGGACAATGAATTAATTCTATTATACCTAAATTGCTCTTAGCAACAAACAAAGGGCTAGACTTGTTATTTTACTTAGCCTCCAGAAAGGGGCAAAATGTTACATATCTTTATACATTTTGACTACATCAACCCTTGGAAACAGATAAAAGGGTTAGATCTCTCTCTACATATTTTATTTTATTGGCTCCCAAACATGAATAAAGAATTAGCACAACTTGATCCAATTAACAAGAGACTGATAACAGTTGCAACTCTACAATTGGTTGGGATGGCTACCCTCTAGTGATAAAAATCCATCAAGTTGTGGCTAGTAGCTCCTTGGTGGTCGCCTGTGCATGGTGGTGCGGTGCTTGATGGGCAAAAACAACCAAGACCATCCTCTAATAGTGTAGGTATGTCTAAAAAGAGTCATTATTCTATCATGGTATCACACCTTATTCGTATTATAGCCCATAGAGGTGGTTGGCGTTCCTCTTCCATGGATAACACTCCACCTTTTTTTATTATATTTATCATTATGTTGGAGTTCTGGATTAATGAGATTTATCCCTTTCATGGCTTGGCAGATTATTATGAACGTTTTTCCTTTACTCTACATAGTTCACTTTATAGTCATGGGTAAAACTAACCATAGTTGTCCTTTTGACCATGGGGAAGCTATTCTTGGCTGACCATGCAGTACATATAATATGGCTACCAGTCATGCATATCATTATTCTTTTTATATAAAGAGGCAAAATTACCGATTACCAATAATCTTGATCTGCAACATATTTCTATTATATTTTTACATGTTGGTAGGTATTGTGACTAATGGCACTTGGCTCGATAAAATGATATTGTAGCACACATCCATATTATTCATTTTCTATCTTAACATATTGCAAGACATACACAGTGATATTATACAAGTGCTTTCTATGGTTAATGGATAAAGAGGAACAACGATATTTGTTCTCACCATCCCCTTTGATACATAAGGCAATATTTTTTTTTTTTTACTGCAAATACTTGCATATTTCACATTTATATATTAACAAATGCTCATTTATACTATGCTCTTTGATGCAGATAAACACCAAACCCATGAAGCCAAACTCATGGGAATTATTCGGGATGAACTATGAGAGTAGCGGCTTGGTGGGCATGATGGATGAACATTGACCACCTGGTGAAGTATAGTATTCGCACCAGCTAAGCTTGGAGCTGGCGATACTGCTTGTCTTCACCAAGAAGGGATGGGCGGTAAACACATCAAGTCAAAACTTGATCCCAAAATTGCACCATTTAATGCTAACTAGAAGACTTTGAACCCCATTAAAAATCTATTAGGGATGCCATTTGGGTCTCCATCACCAACCTGCAATGGTATTTAATGCATGAATGGCTACACAAGTTTCATTGCATAGGAAATTAGCAAGAGATATTACATTTTACTTGGGAAGTTGATCAAAATCTTAGACATGGGTGGATTTGCTAGCAGTGTTTAATTGCACATCAAATACGGCATTGTGTATGGATATGAGGTTGGCAAGAATAAGTAGGCTCTAGTGGACCAATAGTCATTTGCTAGAAATGTAGGAGAATTCATAATTATATTTCAAAAGCTATCAAGAGTGCCCAAATTCTCCCAAAACTTGACACTGGTCTTCACAAAACTCAATTCTAAGCATTGGAATGTTGGGTTACTCTAACCCCCACAAACTAAAAATTACCAAAATGCCACTACCCATATATATTTGATTTTTTTCCTTTATTTTTGGTAGATTTTCCAAACTATTCACACTATAGGCATTAGAAACATTTTTACTTTAAAGAAAAATCTTCATCTTCAACCTCTCAACTCGTACACAAAAATTCCCTAGGAATCTCCATTTTCTAATAATAGGAGTTAGAAATATTTTTACTTTGAAGAAAAATCTTCATCTTCAACCTCTCAACTCCTACACAAAAATTCCCCAATAATCTCCATTTTCTCATATTGTCTTACATCTCTAGCCATACAAAATATTCTCTAGACTCATAGCTTGGTATAGCTAGAAGACTTCATGCTACAATTTTAGGGTCTGGGTTGTTTTTCTTGAGTATCAAAGGATCTTGAAGCAAAGTTAGCATCATAAAATGGGATCAAGTCCTCCATTAAAAGCCATACAATGATCATCCTTCCCTCTCCCATCATTACTTTCTAGTTTATTCTTGTTTTATGTAAATTTGAGGGAGATTATTGTATTTTAACCTCCAATATGAGAGTTGCTTATTTTGGAATTGTAGTATTTGTCAAGGATTACAAAGGACACCTTTATTGTGTTTATTATTATTTTACAATGTATTTTACATAAGTGTGCTTCTTAAGTTGTAAAAGTTTATCTTTATATATTTTCTATCCTTGCCGCTCCTGCTACAGTACACATCATTTGCTCATTTTCTTCGGTAGTTGTGTAATCATTCTTTGATCTTGAAATTTCATCATTGCTACTCTACTTTTTTGACTTGGTTAGAGAAGTTGTCTCTTCAAACTTTTCTGGAGAACTTTGCACAGTTCTTTTTTTTTTTTTTTTGGGTGAAGGAAATAGCTCGTGGAACGTAACCTATCACATGAAATGGGTACAAGCCAAAAGGGCCCTTCTCATTTCTCATAGGGAGGTTAGTTAGTTTACATGTCATCTTTGCTACTGACTCATCACCCCTTGCCCCCTAACAAGGATTGGGATATTAAGGAGAGCTTTTCTCTTAAATTTACTTATAAAATGATCATATTGTCCTTGAATTGAAGGGTATTTAAGGTCATTTGACAAGATACCTAACTAGGCCATTTGGTGAAAAAGGGAAAAAGAGAAGAAAAAGGAGAAAAGGAGAGGCAATCACAAGGGTTAAGACCCTTGACAATTCCCCAAATTTTAAGTCCTACCTAAGAAAAGTCTTAGTTCTCTACAAGGGTAACCAAATTCCCACTAAGGCAAAAATCTTAAAGTCAAGTCTCAAATCCTTGAAGGATAAGATCAAACTAAGGTTCTTGCCCTTTGAAATCCAATTGTTAATAAGAGGATCATGCTATCTTAAATGTGCCATTAATTACAATTTGAGCACATACATTGCAGCACCCCAATATAGAGCTCATTTCCTATTTCTTTTCAATTCATTGTAATTGTATGTATTAATTTACAAAATAATAAATATAAATTACAATGAATTTGAAAAGAAATGGCAAATGATCTCTAATTTGGGATGCTAAAATGCATGTGCTTAAACTTTAAATAGTGATATGTTTTTAAAGCAACGTCCTTTGATTGATAACTAAATTTGGAAGGGTAAGGACTTTAGCTTGATCTTGTCCTTCAAGGAATTTGAGACTTGTATTTAAGATTTTTCCATGTTGACAAGGATTTTGAACTTATGAGCTAAGACCTCATTTAGCAAGGATTGGAATTTTGAGAATTGATGAGATTTTTGAAGCTTCTTGCAACTACTTTCCTTTTTCTCTTCTCCCTTTAGCAAATGAATAACCCATTTATAGCTAAAGAAAACTTGCTAAATGACCTCAAATACCCTTCAATTTAAAGATAATTTGGTCATTTCATGAATAAATTTAATTTAAATAACAAAATTTTTAGGGATATTATTATTTTGATATAATTAATTAATTTTTGCAATATCTACAAGTGCCACCTAGAATTAATCTACTTGTATATATTTTATATAAAAAAAGTTGTTTGGGGTGTACTGGTGATGTAGGATGATGAGTCAATAATGGCAATGATGTGGAAGCTAACTAAGATGACACCTGAAGATGAGGGTCGTTGTGGTGGCACTTGTTTCATGTGTGAGAGGCTATGTGCCAAGGGCTGTCTCAATCTGCCCAACAGTGTGGAACAACAGTAAGTTCTCTAGTGAAGTCTGAGGGTATAAACTACCCAACCAAGCCAAAAGGAGGAGAGAGAAAGAGAGAGAGAGAGAGAGCTGGGTTGCGTTGACGGAGTTTCGGGAACCAAGAATGATCACGCAACTACCAAAAATGATAAAGAATAGGCAATCATCATTATAAAAGCAACAAGGGCAAAGAATACATAAGAGTTAAGGATTACAACTTGAGAGGCACATTTATACATAAAGTATTGCAACATAATAATAATGGCAATAAATGCACCCTCTATTGTCCCTTTCAAACACTCTCTCATTCTGTAATAAGAAACCCGCATTATACAAATATGAAATACAGCAATTTCTCTGTGAAGTTTTCACAAAGATAAAAGGGATAAATTTGAAAGCAGTGATAGGAGAAGGAAAGGCAACTGTTTGGGGGCTTGTAAATGGGTGGCCTGATCCCTTCTTCTGATGCTAACCACCTGACTTAATCCTTTGATGCTCAAGAAAAATAATTAAAAGATTGAAACTACATTATGCAGATATCTTGCTTATGCAGATATCTTGCTTTGTCAGATGGGCAACATTCACCCATCCATGCTTGCCGAGTCACTACTCCCAAAGTTTAGCACGAATATTTCCCATGAGCTTAGATTCATGGGTTTGTACCCATCTGCAGCAAAGGTAGAATATTGGTGAGTATTCGTTCAAATATTTAAGTATAAAATGTACAAATATGAGTAGCAAAGAAGGATACTCCCTTGTGTATTAAAGGAGATGGTGAGGATGAACATGGCTATGCTCTTTTGTCCCATGGCCATGGTGAACACTTGTATGCTGCTATTATATATGGCTAGCATCTCGCCAAGAAAGAAAGCGAGCAATATTGCTGTGTGTTGTGACATCATTGTCCTAACCCAAACATCGTTGGTCAGCGATACCTACTAACACATGGAGCATGGAAGAAATATGTTATGAGTCATGATTACTAGTGACTGATAATTTTGTCTGTTAATATGAAAAAGTAATGAGGTACATGGTCACTAGCCATGTCTCACAAGTATCGTAGGGTTAGCCATGAATAGTTTTCCCGTAGCCACCAAGACAATAATGGCTAGCTTTGTCCATGGTTGGAGCATGAGCTATGTGGAATCAGAAGAGCAATCCCATTAATCCGTCGAGTTGCGAAAGGGTATATCTCACTAAGCCAGACTTCGCCATAGTGATGAATGTGATATATAGAGAAATGTGGAGTTATCTCATGGAAGGGAGATGCCAGCCTATCCATGGCCTTTGATACGATAAGGTGTGGTACCACTAACAAATGCTAGCCCATCTTGTCGTACCTGCACTGTTAAGGGTAGTCTTGGCTGTTGTTGCCTACCAGGCACCACACCACCAGGCACCACACCACTAGGCACCAATGACCAGCAAGGGATAGGCGACCGCTACTTGATGGATTTTTATTGTTGGAGAGTAGCCATCTCATCTAATCATAGGGTTGCAACTGTTATCGGCCTCACACTAATCATACCGAGTTGCGCTGACTCTTTATTTGTTTTTGGGAGCCAGTGAGATAAAATGTATAGAGATTTGACCTTTTATCCATTGTCGGGAGTTGGTGTGATGAAGATATGTAGGAGCATGTAGCCTTTTGTCCATTGTTGGAGGCTAAATAACAAATCTGATCCTTTGTCCACCATTGGGAGCTATGTAGATGCATCTTATTGTCGATTGATGGGAGCCATGTATGTGCAGCAAAGTCGGCTCTTTATCCATTGTTGGGAGCCACAAGATATAATAGTGAATATTGTTGTGGAGGACATGACTATAAAAAACGTCCAGCCTTGTCATGGAAATAAATCTAGCCATGTCTGGCCATGTATATAGAAATAGATGCTGGTGTGAGCCGTGTTCTACAGTGTTTCCAACGAAGTTGATAAATGCCTCTTCTGGCGGTGTTGGCTTTGTTGCAGTAATCAACGGAAAATAGCATGGCTAATATGGAAGATAAGTCACGTGGGCCCTTACTGATGTGGGTTCACATGTGTCTCCAACTTTAGAGCAGTACAAATTCATCTCTCAATGTTAACACCCTAAGCAGGCGAAGTTGTGACAATAAGTTGGCCGCTTGGTGTTGAGGGAGGTAATTTTCCATGGAAGTCTAAATATAGTCACAAGCATGTTGGGATGATCGCACAAATCTGATGATCAACATGAATCCTTCTGTTGAAGTAGATGCAGCTTAAAAGACGTAGGATTGCTAGGATTTGGTCCCAACCGTATAGTCCACTAACATTGAAGTCATTTCAATAAAGGAGAAGTCGTGCTGGGCTCAGCTGCGCAAAACAGTGATAAGCATGGATGAATCTAGTATGATTCGACTACCATTGATAAATGAAGCCAAGATACCAATTGAGAAATCTGATGCCGTCAATAATGTTTTAGCATTAATTTAACTGAATACAATTAGAGTGAGAATTACAGCCGTGAGTTTTGATGCTACTAGCAAAGCTTTGTCACGGATGGAGCCAGACAAGGCCAAAGCAAGAAGTCTAGCTAAGAGATCCAAGATTGTTAAGATTGATGGAGCCCAAATATGCGCAGAATATGGCTAAAGCCAGGCAAGATAATGGGCCACATAAATAGCACCCACGAAGTTACTTTATGCACGAAAAATTGCTCTCGCACCTAGTCAAACCTTTCTTTGTAGATTCACTAAAATAATTTTTTTGAAAAAAGTTAAATGCAGTACAAAAAATATACCTGACAGCAATTCCAGCTGATGCAAATACGAGGCCAATGAGCAAGCTTTTAATCACGTCTTCACTAGGACTTCTGCACAGGTTGTACTGTTCCTACCCCCCCCCTTTTTTAGAAAAGTAATATATCTTGAGTAGTTACTGTGGAAGAGATTCTTTACACTGTTCATGTGTGGTCCAGATTTAAGGAAGACTTAAAAGTCTTCCTTAGAGAGGTTTTTAGCAGTTAGAGAGGAAAGTAACTCCTTTTTTAAAAAAACGAAGAAACTGCATCTTCCCCAAAAATCTTGTCATAATGGCGCATAAAACAAAGGAGATTTTAAAGGGGATCTAGTGTAGATGAGTGCACCAAGACAACATTCACCTCACTTGCTTCCCCTTGAGATGGTTCCTGGCTATACTAATGTGCGACAAGTGGTGAAGTGGTTGGCCGAGGTGCTTAATGCTGCTTTTGATTTCCCTTTTTGCCATCTCCTTCAAACCCTTCGCAAAATTTTTTAGTTTCCCCCTTTCTTCTCTCTACAAAATTATCGAACCGTTCTTTCTCTTTTTCTGTATTCTCGATTCTTGCCATTCGCCTCACAAAATCTCCTAGACTTTTCAACAAAGTGGCCAAATTCTTCCTAAGGAGGCTAATTTGGTGTGCAAATCTAGCCAAACCCCTCTTCCAATCAAGGTAATGATGAACCCCTGTTTCTCCATTTCGCTTTTGTCTTTTTTTCCTTTTTTTTTTTTTTTTTT